TAAAGGTAGAATTCCCAATGAGAAATGTAATTGTGTTGTATACCTACAATGTACCAATAAAAGAATTTAATAAAAAAAAAAGTATATAGTGATGGGACTGGGGATTTAGCGCAGTGGCTGCCTCTCAAGCGCAAGGTCCTGAGTTCGATCTCTGGTACTGCAAAAAAAAAACCAAAACGATATAATGATGAATTAATTTATAGAGTGTGGATGGGATTTGATCCTGTGAGAATTAGTCTCAAACATGAAAAAAGGAAAGTATATGCCTATATAACATTAAATCTGTAGCTGGGAAAAGATGTTAGTGGGAGTATGACTGGGAGCTTTAGTATATTTCTTGGCATAGTGAAGTGAAAGAAGCATCTCTGGAATTTGAGGAAGGGCATTTGAAGAAGTGATAATGATTATTATATCATGAAATCTGAGTTTTAATAGAGAAGGAAGTAAAACCTAAAAGTTTTACAGGGAGAAAAAGCAAGTTTGAGCAATAATAAAGAAGTAAATGATTTGGAACCACACATGGGGTGGTCAGAGAGATAGAAAAGATTTGTAGAAGTCAAGATTTTGAATATGGCCATGATTGTGAATCAGGTGATGTGCAGTTGGACATTGGGATTAATGACATCAAGGAACTATGAAATTGTGTTGTTAAGGGAGTGAGTCATTGTCATTATACATAGGCATCATTCAGGACACTGGCAGGTTGTGGGAGAGAAAGCCTATAGCCAAATATTTGAGTCTTCAGTGAATATACCTAGGTAATCAGGATCCGGATGAATGGCTTCTAGAATACGTAAGAAGATGGGAGATCTATACAAAAGTATAGGTGACTAGAAATTGACAAAAATGAGAGGTATGGTCAAAGTTATTTACCTGCAGTTCTGAATACATTGTTAGGAAATTTTTTGATACAATCTAACACTCTTAGGAATCTTTGGGCTAACTAATGAGTGAATAATTTCCTGAAATAGGTAGAGGGAATTAATATGAATCCTAAAAATAGTCTTTGTTGGAAATTGCTTAGTTCAGCTTGGCTTTCTAATGGTTTTATAAAGGTATGTCAATAAGAATTTGAACCACATCCCATATCTGTTTTGAACAAATAGTCTAATCTATTAAGTAAATGGTAGGCAATACAATAAAGCAAATCGAATAAAAATCTTGACCTGAAAGTCAAAAGAAAAGATAAATAAATATCATTCCCCTGTTTCTTATTTGCTTTATGGCATCTGTAGTTTGGACATGAGATTTTAAAAAGGGTACGAGGTCCAAATCAAGGGTTTATTGTAAATCATAATTTGAAGTTTCTGATACTACGCTTTATCCAAAAATGTTCAAATTGACTATATTTGGGTATTCTGGGATTTCAGTATTTCTTTCTTTTTGTGTGTGTGAATGTAGATCATGTAATGCAGAGGGCACATTTGCAGATTTGTGAGGAATGTAAACACAATAATCTTATTTCAGCTCTTGTTCTCCAGTCAGTAGCAAACAAGTCAGTATCTCTTAACACAACAATGTGATTACAGCCCTGGGTAGGAATCCACCCCATATCTTGGGTGGCATTGCTCTATTTATTATAAATATGTGGGCATTTTTTTGTTCCCAACAGAGGAATGCTAGTATAGTAGATGTCAGTCAGATATGTTCATCCCATATCTGAAAATATTTATCTGTAAACCAATCGTTCTCTTTCATCATGAGAGTATTAGGAGTGTGGAGTGGATCAGTACCTCTATATTTCCCTATCTGAATATTAACTGTGAGTAGAGAAAAATTTTTCACATGGCCTTTTTTTTTTTATCCTTTTATTGGTACATTTTAGGTATACAGTATAATGACATTCATCATTGGAGATATGCACCTTTACATACTCTCTTGGTTCTTATTTATTTTTCCCCCTTCCCCTGCCCTCCCTTCAACCTCCCTTTCAGTATTTCTATTAGTTCATTTTGGTTGCTTTTAATTTTTTTTTTTTTTTTGGTCTTGAGTAGGGATAGTCCTGTCCTTTTTTCTTTTTCTTTTATTTTTTTTGGTAACAGGGATCAAGCTTGGTACCTTCCACTTGCAAGACAGGCGCCAGCACCACTGAGCTAAACCCTTGGCCCAATAGTCATTTTCTTTAATGGGCAGAAAGTTGTAGTTTTATTTTGTACTGCATAATTTTCATAATGATATCTAAAAGTTAAATGAATTATTGTAAACCTTGGGTAGTTTTTAGATGTCTACTAAGGTAACAAAAAGCCTGTTAAATATTTACTTTTAATATATCTGATAACAAGATATTTAAGTATTGAGTTTATAATTTTTATATCTTGATATAGAAAGTGTATTAAATACTTAGTAAATAAATTTACATTCTGTATAATATTTAATTCAAAGGTGTAATTTCAGGCCGTCAGGGTAAGTTTACCAAAATAGCTCTATAGTACTATTATGTTACTTTTTTAGGGCACTGCACAAAACTATATCTACAGTGTTTTAATTTGCTAATTCTCTTTAGTAACCTTTCTAGTAACAAATTAAGACAGATCAGCTTCAGAAAAGAAAAATTATAACCGACATTTTAAAGAAATCTTAAAATCAAAATCTGGTTGTTAATCCTAGGATTTAGGGCTGCTAGCATTGATCAGTTTTAAGTCTCTTAGACTTAGTGTAACGAGTATGTCATAATGAAGATTATGTGCAAGTAATAGTTTCCTGTAATTACAGTAAAAGGTAGTAAGATTTTCTGTTTTTCTTTTTTTACTTGTCTCCAGTTATGTTCATATCAGATAATGAAAGTTTTAATCCTTCCTTGTGGGAAGAACAGAGGAAACAGCGGGCCCAAGTTGCATTTGAATGCGATGAAGACAAAGATGAAAGGGAGGCACCTCCCAGGGTGAGTTTGTTAGTATTTCAAATTTGAAACTGACAGTCTGCTGATGTTTAAATTGTTATTATATACCTATATACTATGGTGTTTTGTGTATACAAAGAAGTATTGTATTTATTCTTTGTCCTCAAGATCCAAAATATTTCACCTATGAAAGAATTTGAGAGCAATATAGAACTATCATTAAAACTAAATTTTAATTTTAATTTAGTTTTTCATATATAAACAGATTATGAAAGGCTAAAGAAGCTAACCAGAGTTTTGTCTTCAGTGCTTTTAAAATTTAACTTTAGTGATTATTTTTCTACCCTTTCTCTTTCTTTAATGATTTCTATGAATCATAGAGATAATTCTTTGTTAGGAACTTTTTTTTTTTTTTAATACCGGGGATCGAACTTGGGTCCTTGCACTTGCGAGGCAGGCAGTGGAACCACTGAGCTAAATCCCCAGCCCTACATTTTTATTCTTTATAAATTTGAGAACATAATGTTACAGTAGTATGAGTAGCAAATAATATCTTTCAGGTTACTTAGAGATATAATTATTTACCCTTTATATAAACTAGTTGAAGCCCAGAAAATGACATTTTAGACTGGTCTTGCAAGAGTGTGGTTCATGGCATGTGAGACATAAGTATGTGAATGTCTGAATTTTACAAGCCTACTTACTCGCAAATACATACCTTTTCAAAGCCAAATGACAACAGCTTTTGGCAGTATCCCCATCATAAATCTCTAAATGGCAATTACAGAAGTCTGCTAAAAAAGCATTTATGTTGAAATTTACTGTGAAGTCTTTGGCTACTTTGTGGTAAAACCTTATTTTTACTGAGCCTGAAATACTTTTAGCCTACCATCTATCTACATGGTTAACCCTATGAATTAGGTATGTATTGGTTCAGATGAATTATAGATTAAATTCTGTGAGGCTGACATTAGAAATATTTTTAAACCTTTGTATTTCACTTGTTTCTCTAGGAGGGAAATTTAAAGAGATATCCAACACCATACCCAGATGAGCTTAGGAATATGGTCAAGACTGTTCAAACCATTGTACATAGATTAAAAGATGAAGAGACCAGTGATGACTCTGCAAGAGATTTGAAATCACATGAAGACCAGCAAGTTGCAAATAAAGATGTGGGTGTGAAGGTAAGAAAACTCAACTCAAAAGAATTAAATCCCATTTTAAGTTCTTTCAGATGTTTAAGACGTGACATAATGATCCTTGTAATACACTAAATGTACTTCTCAATTTATGATTTTAGTATCAGCTACCTGAACAAAGAAGGAAACTGATTGAACTTCCTAATTGCTCTTATTACTATTCTCTGGCTGTGAAATGTCCAGATTGGCTAGTAGTGTCAACATAACCTTCCAAAAATCATTGCCTAAGCAAAGAACAAGATAATGATTGTCAGAAAAGTTATTGTGAAAATACTTTTTTCCCCCTATTTTGATAGTTGACAGACCTTTGACTTTTCCTTTGGATAGAATTCTGAGTTAGGATGTCATGAATTTCCCATACCTGTATTATATCACAGAAACAACTTATATTGTTAGTGTTACTATTCATTCCACAATAAGCAGAAAATAATCTTAATTATTTTTTTGTTGAGCATGCTGAGATAAGTAGCTCACTTGTCCACACCAGCCTTGTAACTTACATGAGGAAAAGTAGCTTGGCTAAATTACAAATTTTAATGTAGTTTGTGTGTCTTTACAGCCCAGAATGATCATTTTTATGTATAAATACTATGATTTGCATTTTAACAATTTAAGATTTATCTAGAATTGAAAGTTGATACATTACTTGTAAATTTAATAAAAAATAGATGTAAAATTTAAAGAATATAAGTTTTCCCATTTCTGGAACACAGTACTCAACACCTATAACGTAAAGGAAAAGAGACTTATTTGGCTTATAATTTCAAAGGATTCAATCCATGGTCAACAGACTGTAAGGCAGAAATATGGCAGACCAAAGCTGCTGAGTTGATGGCAGATGGGAGGCAGAGTAAGGGGAACAGTGCCAGAGAGGGTGGGATCAGGGAACCAATTTGGTAACCAAGGTGGAGCCTCCATGCCCCACTCACACACACCCAGAAGTGTACATTACTAATCCCCTAGACAGCTGCCAAGTCAATCAAGCTGACAATTAAGCTTAACTGTCACATGGTCTTTATCTTTTATTTAGGCTTCAGGAAGTACTACTCCAATAAAAAGCAAAGTTGATGAAAGAGAAAAGCATATGATAGGGAACTCCATACAGTCTATACAGATCAATGAAGCTGAGATCAGTCCTGGGAATTTACCAGTAACTGTAAATATGAAAGCCTCTGAGAACTTGAAGCATGTTGTTAATCATGATGATGTTTTTGAGGTATGACTTTTATAATTATTCTTGAGTAATTCTAAGAATTTTCAATTTAACATTTCATTTTTGCTAACCACTCTTAGAAACCTCATACCATGAGTGCAGAAAATAGGTTAGTAACTTCACCATTAAGAATTTTCATAATATTTGCTAGACTTAGTACTTCAAACATAATTTTTATTACTGTTAATTAACTTGTGTTAATTAAACACAAGTGTTTAATTGCTAGGTAAGTTAGATGGCAGTCTACTGTACATAATTGTCATTACCTGTCCTACAATTTAAAAATGAAAAGGCTATTATTTCTCTTATTTAAACATTTATCATTGATATGAGAGGGTTTTTTGTTGTTGGATGTCTTTCTTAGATCTAGAATTTCTTCTAGTGGAACAGTAAAGCTATAACTTATATCCTATACATTCGTTCATTTCAAGTGTACAGTTCAGTGGGCTTTAGTATATTACAAAGTTGTGCAACCATCATCATAGTCACTTTTAGAACAGTTTTATTACCTCAGAAATTCCCTGCACTTTAACTGTTACTCCTCAGTCTCCTCATCCTCCTTTGCCCAAGGCTACCAAAAATCTACTTTATATCCCCGTATAAATTTGCCTACTCTTGGGTCGGAGATTTAGCTCAGTGGTTCTGCCACCGTGCCTTGCAAGCACAAGGTCCTGAGTTCAATCCCAGGTTACCCCCCGCCCCAATTGCCTACTCTTGACATTTTGTATAAATGGAATCATACAATATGTGGTCTTTTGTAACTAGTTTATTTCACTTGGCATGTTATCATCCAAGTTTAACCATATTGTAGCATATGTCAATGCTGCCTCCATTTTTATGGTTGAATAATATTCTATTGGATGTATGTACCACATGTTTACTCTTCAGTTGATGGGCATATGTGTTATTTCTACTTTTTGGCTATAATGAATAAGGCTGTGGTGAATGTTTGTGTACTCGTTTTTGTGTGGACATGTCTTTTCATTTCTTCCTGGTGTAGGAGTAGAATTGCTAGAATGCACTAACTCTTGGTTTGCCTCTTTGAAGAACTTCCAGACAGCTGAAACCATTTTATACTGTTTTCCTTTGACAGACTGGTAATAGTGATGTAAAACAGAAGTTGTAACTTTCAAATAATTATGTTTTTATTTATAGCTACATTGTCCACTCTCATAAACACTAATTACAGGTGGCTTTGTAAGTTTGAAATGTAAATAAACTTAAAAATTGAGGAGCTGAGGATGTAGCTCAGTGGAAGAATGTTCACCCAACATGAGTGAGGCTCAGGGCTCATTCCTTATTGCAACCAAAAAAGAACCAAAAAATTTAAAATGTGAGCTTCTCAGTCAACACTAGCCACATTTTGAATGACTGTAGCCACATGTAGCTAGTTAGTGCCTGCATCTAATACACATAAGCACAGACACAGAGGATTTCTGTCATTGTAGAAAGTTGTATTGGACAACAGTAGTATGTAGAAACAGTGGTATGCTGAGTTACAGTAGCAACTTTCTTTGTGAAAATTCAGAATGCACTTAAAACATTTATTTTCAGAGTTATCTTATGAGCAGCATTTACTACAGAGGGGAGAAGAAAACTCAAACCTTTTGGGTGTACTTTAGATAATGTCACTCAATATACTGTTATATACATTGATGCTAATATACCATTGTCTTTGAAAAACTATTAGGTTTATCCCAGTGAACTTACTACTCATTTAGTGTAATTTCTTTGTTTAAGGCACTGTTTGGAGCTCTGGTGGTGGAGCACAAATATAATCAACACTGTTTTAAGTATGTAAGAAAAGAATTAAATTTTAACAGAAATTTAGAAAATAGATCTTTTCAGGCTATGAAGATCTGTGACTTCTTTAAGGAGGAGGCATTTGATGTATATTTGAAAGATCTCAACAGAAATAGGACAACTCAATGAAATGTGGAAGGATAATGAGAGCAAAAGAATGACATTTGAAAAATGTGGAAAGGAGAATGTTGAATCTGAATGAATCTGTGAGGGACAATGTTTTGAAATAAAATCAGTAGAGTAGATCGGGTCCTGAGTGATAATACTGTGATACAGCCAGATATTAGAGTTGTGTTAACTACAGCTACTGAATTCTCCAAGCTTGATGACTTTTTAAATAAAGGTAACAAAAAAGCATGGGCTGAAAGTTATGAGATTATAGGAGATGTAGCATCTAAGTATATGACTATAAAGAATAGAGAAGTGGGAACACCTAACCATGATTGATTAAGTTGATGATGCCATTAACAATATAGGGCATTACACGCTTGAAGGACGGAAGTTCTTTGGATTTGTAGCATCTGAGCAATTGGCAAGCATGTCAGTCAGACCTATCTGACACAAGTATGAATCTTCAGAGAAGAGAAGCCAAAACTAGATTATAAGTTGGGGAATCGTCTATAGTCAATATAATTATTGAAGAAAATGTAATATTCGGGGGAAAAGAATAAGAAAAGGGAAAAAGTGGCTTAAGTGCAAGATGAATTGACATGAGTACGTGTAACAACAAAGTAGGAAGAGATTTAAGAACTGCAGTTCCCGGAAGCCATGTATAATGTAATTTCATGAAGGAAAAAGTATGGCCAGGAGTATAAATGATGCAGATACCAAAGCGTAAAGTAGATCTTTTGCCCTTCCTTCTCCCATTCTCGCTCTTCACATTCATTGCCACTAAGTTGTATAATTTGCAAATTTCTGTGAACTGCTTTTCCTTTTTGCAAGCCACCATTGCTGTTGCCTAAGGATTACAGACATATTCTCTTTGTCTTCAGAATTTATGGTGATATCTAGATTCTTTTCTGCCAGTCTGTTCTTTCCCTGTACATTCTTAAGACTTAATAATTCTGATCTTATATGTTCCCAGATTGGCAACTTTTAATAATGACCAGTACATGCTTGAGTCTATAGTCAAGAGAACCACCTTTATGCAATCCAGTCTTACCTTTTTTTGTTTTTCTTGCCACTTATCCTGAGCTCCAGCTGCATGAAGCTGGCTTACCTTTTCTTATTTCCTTGCTTCTCTCTACTCAAAATGTCATTGTCTTCTTTATTCACTCTTAAAGAATAAAGTGAATTTACCTCCTGTTCCTGCTGTACTAACTGGCTTCCACTGTAGTACAGTCTTGAGCAGGATTTGCAGATTATGGCCTGTGGCTCACCTCTAGCCCTACTGCCTGTTTTTGTATGGCTTGCAAGCTAAAAATAATTTTACCTTGTTTAAAAGTTTGATTAAAGATGATTGGAAGAATATACTATTTATGACATGTGGAAATTACATGAAATTCAGATTATAAATGAAGTTTTTTGGGAACATAGTCATACTCATTTATTTACATATTTTCTGACTTTTTGTGCCACAGCCACAGAGATGGTTTGGCTTGTAACACCTAAAATATTTATGGTCTCATTTTACTGAAATCTGCGAATCCTACCCATATTTTTGGTGCTTTTTTTTTTTTTGGTACTGGGGATCGAACTCAGGTCCTTGCGCTTGCACAGCAGGCAGCGAAACCACTGAGCTAAATCCTCAGCCCTATTTTTGGTGCTTTTAAGAGAGCAGCCTTTTAAGGACTTGTTTTTAGTTTCATATTAACTAGAAATTATAATATAGCCTATAGATTATATGATTTCATATATAATATTAAAATTTTTCAGTTAGTATTTGTTAACTAAGAAGTCATTTTCTTTGCATCTGATAGCACTTAGTGATAGGTAATTTGGAAAAAATATGAGAGAAAGAAATCATGAAAAATAATAAAAATTCTGTCCTCACAGTGGGTAAAACCATTCATTCATTTTGGTTACAATGCACCTTAGTCCATTTGATTCCTTGGAACCCAACAATCTTTAAGAGAATAAATTTCATGCCAGGTGTGGTGGTGCACGCCTATAATCCCAGCACTTGGGGAGGCTGACAAAGGAGGAACAACACGAGTTTGAGGCCAACCTGGACTATATAGTGGTTTCAAGGCTAGCCTGAGCTACATAGTGAGATCTGCTTTCCAGAAAAAAGAATAAATTTGAGAATTAGAGATAATTTGTTTAAGGTACTCCCACCAAATTGAATTTTTCAAAGACGGGGTTCTATTTCATCCAATTTTTGTTGATCTATCACTTTACATAGTATCAAGAACATAGTAATCATTAATGTAGTTGAATAAGGCCCACCACAGAAAATTGTCCCATAGGCTTTGACACATTGTTAATAATTATCATAATTGTATTGCCATATCTTGAAAAAGTTAAATCATATCCTAGTTTTAATCAGCTATTACCATAAAAAGGTTTCATATATGTTCTTATATTTATTCAGAGTCCAAAATTTAACTTTTATAAATATTTTCCCCCTTTTTTCTTTAAACTAGGAATCTGAAGAACTTTCTTCTGATGAAGAGATGAAAATGGCAGAGATGCGACCACCATTAATTGAAACCTCTATTAACCAGCCAAAAGTCGTAGCACTTAGTAATAACAAAAAAGGTTAGATGTTGAAGGAAAGCACTAAGAATAGAAATGGCCTGAATAAAATTTATAAATTTTGAAATAAATTTCATTAAATGTCATATTATTTAGAAACAAGGTTTCAAATACGCCTTCCTGAAAAAGTTCTTATTTCTCATTTTTAGCAAATGATCTTGGTAGATCTTTTTTTTCTCTTCATGCAGGTTTACTTCTAAGGACTTGTACTTTACAGACAGATAATCTAATTTACAATTCTGTTTCTTATCTATTATATCTATATTATGATCTTTGGGTTACTTAATTTTATCCAAATGTACATACCTAGTTTGATAGGCAGTGAAGCTAATGAAGAATTTTATATCAAATGGATTGACTGTGTATCGTGATACTTGATACATAGTAGATGCCCATTGTTATTTTATTCTTATCTATCCCAGATCATTTATTTAACCATCCCCAACTCCCACTATTTTTCTGTGTAAGAGTCTCAGATCTCCCCACACACACACATTGGGGATAATCACAGATACTTAAAAAGGATGTAGATCTTTAAAGGATATCTTTCATTTACTAACCCCTTGCCCCGATGCCTCATAGTCTTTACATTATCTCTACCTAAGTATACCCACCCATTTGCATTTATGGCATCAGTGATGCTTGCTATCAAGGTGGCCCTTGAATAGTTTGGGTTCATGATCATTCTGGTAGTGATAACTAGTATTTGTTGAGCATTTTACTTACAAATTATGTAGATACAATGTTAAATATTATATGTTACTATCTAATTGTCATAATAGCCCCATAATAAGGGGAAGGAATATATCTGGGAAAGGCCATCTAGTTTAACAGTATATTAAAAATTAATACAATATTCAGATTCATTGAGGTTGAGACTACTTAAACTGTTGTAAGGTCTGGGAACGTCACAATTATCCTCAATTCATGTAATCTTCCTTGGATATGTCTATATATAGCATTTCCATGATTTGACTAGAATTATTAGCTAAAAATAGTGTTTTAATAACTGCTTTATAAAAATACTCTTTTGGGTGTGAGGGATGTAGCTCAGTCGTATCACTCCTGCCTGACAAGTGCAAAATCCTCAGATCCATCCCCGGTACTGCAAAAAACCCCCTACTTTTTGTTAAAAAATACTACCTGCCTGTAATACACTATGAATACTATTTCTCTTTAATATGATTATTACATACACAGCTATCTCTAGAGATTGCTATTCATAAACAATTCCATGAAATACTTTAAAGAACACGAATAGCTGACCTTTGAGAATTTGCTTGTTGTGTTTGTGGATTGACTGCTTTGCTCATTTTTATTAGAATAGACTGGAAAGAAATTCCACACATATATGAAATAATACCCAGATGAGTTTAAAAAGGTTGTGAAGTGTAACTGTATGTTTTGAGTTCTTAAAATTATAAATGGGTACACAGTATATTTGCTAAAAGTAGTGTTCTTAGAAAACAGTGCTTATCATCTTGTCCATAATTAAATCAAATTCTGGGTAATCCTACCTTTAATTACATTAAAAATGGTACCACAATTTTAAAGTTCTTTAATGTTTGTATGTATTTAGGACAATCTGCAGGGTTACTTCAGGTTATCTTATCCATCCATATAATTTATTACTTCATATATGGAACCAGGACAAAATAAATTTCATTTGTCATCACTTGAAAGTATTTCCCAGAAATTCTTTGTGAATGTATCATTAATGTTATTTTTGTGTGTGTGTTTGTTTCAGATGAAACAAAGGATACAGATTCTCTATCAGATGAAGTTACACATAATAGCAATCAGAATAACAGCAATTGTTCCTCTCCATCTCGAATGTCTGATTCAGTTTCTCTTAACACTGATAGTAGTCAAGACACGTCACTCTGCTCTCCAGTGAAACAAACTCATATTGATATTAATTCTAAAATCAGGTTTGTGAACATCTTACTAAATTATTTACTTGTACAGTAAATAGACATAGGCAAATGCTAAATGCATGCCCAAAATACAGTGTTTCACAATATTTTAGAAGTGGTTCAAGCAATCAATATATATTTTCTTCTTCCATTTTATAACTTTTTGTATATTTCCATTTTAAAATAGATTTTTTTAAGTAGGGAAGGAAAGACTTAAATGAGATTCTCAAGCTTTTGATGTAAAGATTGAGCATTTATACATTATTTATACATAGTACAACATATACAGCCTATTGGGGTAATTCAGGCTGAAAGGATTATTTTTATATTTGGTATTACAGGATCATTTGGGTGAAGCCATTGAAGGGTACATTCAGATATTTTTGATGGGTGCTATATATTTGGCCTACCTTAATTTTGTAAGACAAGCCCTGTGAGAGAAATGTAGCTATTTAATTCCTGTAACCTGGCATGTAAAAGAGGTTTCAAACTAATTTTATTGTTTAAGCTCTCAAGAAATTTGGATATTGAAGCAAGACTATGCCATCTAACTTTGGTATCTGTCTGTCACCTGAAGTCTGCTTGAGAGAAAGATTTAAACTATTGAACCAAAAACTGATTGTTCAGATAGTTTTTTTGGGGGGGTGTCGGAGATCAAACTTGGGACCTTGTGCTTGCAAAGCACTGAGCTAAATCCCTGGCCCAGATATTTTAAACTATCATTTAGACATAAATTGTTCTTAAATTCTATGGATAGTTAAATAAAATGTTACTTGTATTGTTGTAAAAAGAAGACACATTTTCTGCCTGAAATGTTTAAGTATTATACAGTTACAGTTAATCATTAAACATTCACTCTCTGAATTTGAGTATTACTTATTATGTTAAAATATTAATTTTAGTTGGTTACAGTGGCACCATCCTGTAATCCCAGCTGCTTGGCAGGCTAAGGCAGGAAGATCACAAGTTCAAGGCCAGTCTGGACAACTTAATGAGATCTGTCTCAAAATTTAATCAAGGACTGAGGATGTAACTCATTTCCCTCTGGGTTCAATATTCAGTGCTGGTTTTTTTAAAAAAGACATTAATTTTATAATCTCATAATCCCTTAGATGTTAAAATAGCTATTAATTTGCTGAATTAAATTTTACTAATTTTATTTATTGTTGGGAAATAATATGGTATTTTATATATTATTTTTTATGCTATTTCTAATAATGAATGTTATCTTTTGTCTGGTGGGAAGGACAGTATTAAGGAATGTTTGTGGAAACAATTTGAATACAAAAGTTACAAATACATTTGTTTACCACTAATAGAAATAAAATATTGTCTATAATTTTGGAATGGCATATTTAGAAAATATTTGCCAAATACAGTGTGTAGCCACTTAGAATAATGATTACATTTAGTTTCTCTTTTGATACCTTTTGCATAGTTAATGCAGAACTTTGGGCAGTTGTTCAGTTCTTTGTATAATTCTTTTTTTTTTTTTTTATCATCCCACCCCCCCCTCAAGCCCCCTCCCCTTCCTGTGTACAAAAACTGTTTTCATTTTTTTCTATTTTCGCTTTATTTCTTGTCGCTTTCTTCCCTTCCCCCTGTACATGTTTGAATTTAAGAATAACTATGTACTTGGTTAATATTGTTAACTGTGGTTAATAATGTAAGACTTCAGAATTACTTACAAAAATCTCCTGTGTTTTTTTATGTACTCAACATTCTTTCCATATATCTGGCCATCTTCAAGCATTTTATTTTTTGGTACATTTGTGAAAAGATGTAGGAGCAGAAGAGGATACGGAATTCTGCTTTCATTCATATTTCAGACCTTTTAAGTTTTGTGACAAATTAGATCTAGCATATTGATAATTAGTCTTGATATTATCTATGACTTAGTTATGTTTACTTGCACCCAACTTAATATAAATATATATTATTTGATGATAAAAGTACTATTTTAAAATTTAAATCAGTTTTTAAACTAATATGTAAAAACATTAAAATTGTATATAGCAGTAGGGTAAGGTGATTTTCTAATACATGTATACATTATATAACGAAGGTATTATTTTTAAACTACATGCTTGGTGACATCAACTGTGACTATGATGATTCTTAACTTGTGTTGCCAGCACATCGAGTAGTTATTAAATAGTCCCTCATGGGGCCGGGGATTTAGCTCAGTGGTTCTGCCACCTGCCTAGCAAGCACAAGGATCTAAGTTCGATCCCCAGTACCAAAATAAATAGTCCCTCATTACCAAGAGAACTTGGCTTTATTACTTTTTCATAAAATTATCTTTATTTTAGGCAAGAAGATGAGAATTTTAACAGCCTTTTGCAGAATGGAAATATTTTAAACAATTCACCAGAGGAAAAATTCAAAGTTCATGATAAGAAAGATTTTAACTTTGCTGGATATGATTTAAATATTGAAGAACAATTAGTTCTAATTGAGAAAGGTGTTGACTCAACAGCTACATCTGATGAACCTCGCAGATTAGACCATATCAACTTGAACCTTAATAAACTTGTGACTAATGATACATTTCAACCAGAGATAATGGAAAGATCAAAAACACAGGATATAGTGCTTGGAACGGGCTTTTTAAACATGAATTCTAAAAAGGAAACTGAGCATTTGGAAAATGGAAATGGGTATCCTAATCTGGAATCCATAAATAAGGTAAATGGACATTCTGAGGAAACGCCACAGTCTACTAGTAGGACTGAACCACAAGATGCCAGTTCTTCTGTTGATGTAGGTATTTCCAAAAGCACTGAAGATCTTTCCCCTCAGAGAAGCGTTCCAGTTGGATCTGTTGTGAAATCTCATAGCATAACTAATATGGAGACAGGAGGGTTAAAAATTTATGATATTCTTAGTGATAATGGACCTCAGCAGCCAAATGCAGCAGTTAAAATCACATCTGCTATTGATGGACAAAATATAGTCAGGAGCAAGTCTGCCACACTATTGTTTGATCAACCATTACAAATATTTACTGGTTCTTCTTCATCTTCTGATTTAATGTCAGGTACAAAGGCAATTTTCAAGTTTGATTCAAATCATAATCCCGAAGAGCCAGACATAGTGAGAGCACCTACAACAAGTAGCCCACAATCTACACCTCAAATATATGGTCCTCCACAATATAATGTCCAATACAGTAGCAATGCTGCAGTCAAAGATAGTTTGTGGCACTCTAAACAAAGTTCTCAAATAGATCCTGTTAGTTTTCCTCATCGCCTTCCTAGATCAGAAAGCACAGAAAACCACAGTTATGCTAAACATTCTGCCAATATGAATTTCTCTAACCATAACAATGTGAGAGCTAATACTGCATACCATTTACATCAGAGACTTGGCCCAAGACATGGAGAAATGTGGGCCATCTCACCAAATGACCGACTTGTTCCTACAGTAAGTCGAACTACAATTCAGCGACAAAGTAGTGTATCTTCAACAGCCTCTGTAAATCTTGGTGATCCAGGTTCCACAAGGCATGCCCAGATTTCTGAAGGAGACTATTTATCGTACCGAGAGTTACATTCGGTGGGAAGAACTCCTCCAGTGATGTCAGGATCACAGAGACCTCTTTCTGCACGAACATACAGCATTGATGGCCCAAATGCATCAAGGCCTCAGAGTGCTCGACCTTCTATTAATGAAATATCAGAGAGAACTATGTCAGTTAGTGATTTCAACTATTCACGGACTAGCCCTTCAAAAAGACCAAATGCAAGGGTTGGTTCTGAACATTCTTTATTAGATCCTCCAGGAAAAAGTAAAGTTCCTCATGATTGGCGAGAACAAGTACTTCGACACATTGAGGCCAAAAAGTTAGAAAAGGTAATTAAACGTGAGTCTTTTAATTCTCTCTACAAATGTATTTATTTTCTTTAAAAATTTTTGGCATTCTTTGTTTTTAATCAAAGTAGAACAAGAGATTCTGAATTATTGGATATCTACTTATATTGGAGTATTTCCTTAGTACAGAGGACAGAGTTCTAAAAATAACCGTAGCCAAGTCAGTTAAGATGTTAGTATTACACTTCTTTCACTTCTCTTATTTCCCAGTATCTCTAATGGTCATATAGTCACCTTGTATGTTTATCTGTATATCTCTTAGATTATACACACTACTGTACTAGAAAGAATACTTGTGTACCTCTGCTTAGCATTTTGTGACCTCCTGCTCACAACTAATGTATATTGATTATGTAAATAGTATAAGAAAGTAGCAGTTTATAGTTAACAAAATAACAGGAAATGTATTTACAAAGGTAAATAATTTGTGTAATTTTTTTCCAGTCCATGATATATGAACTAACATTGACACTGACTCAGCATGACTTCTGGCATGGCATTCTTGACGTTTCTGAACTGCATTTCCAACCTACTTGAACTTAGTTGAGTGTTTCTATGATTGTAGTACAGCTTAGAAATCATTGTTTAAACAACTGTTGCTTGTGTTCAGTTTGTAAGTTTATGTGCAGCTCTTTATCTTTTGAAAGGAGTTAAAAATTAAAAAACAAAATTATCCTGTAAAATTGATTTTAGTGCCATAATCATGTGGTCCAGATGTATAAAGTACTTCTTTACGATTTAGCTTTATATCTCTCATTGGATTTTACCCAAGAATTATTTCTTCTCTGATTTTAAGTTCAGCTGAACATACAAAGTCACAATTAGTCATTTCAAAATTTTTCTTAATGTTTTTGAGAATTAGTTATTTTCTATCAATTCATATTAAATCCCAGCCTGTAGTTGTTAGCTCTTTTCAGTAAGGTTCTCAATTTTGAATACCTGAATAAGGAGTAACTCCTTCATTCTCATCTTTTTCTTTAGCTATAACTCTGTACACATTGTTCAGTCTATTTGAACTTTCTGCTTTTTCTCAGAAATATGGAAATTTCTTAAGCACAGGAGAGGAGTAACATGACTCTGTTTTCTAAATAAGCTGGTGGCAGTGTGGAACTGGATTTTATGGGGAAGAGGCTGTAGTGAAAAAGATTGAATTGTGAGTTTGTTTAGTGATACAAATAAAAAATAAGAATTGTCAATGGCATTGAAACAGGAATGATTTTAAGAATTCTGAATACACTTTATGACAGTTTATTTCTAGTTGAATACTGTGTTGGGTGTAATCAATCTTTGAAGAAAGTAAAGCTTGAGATTTGTGCCTCAAATAACTAATTTTTGGAAATGCCACTATCACTGGACATAGAGGAAGAATAGCAGATTTAAAGGAAGAGATCCATTTGGTTATTGTGTTCTGTGTAGTCTGCATCTCAAATTGCGTGTTTTCCTACTTCTAGTCTGACAGAGATGTGCCCTGGGCTTCTGCAAATAGAAATCAAGTTCAGTGTGCCTCTCAGCTTTTTATTTTTCATTGCATAAAATACATATTTAGAAATTTATTGTACAATATCTTAGAGAACATAAGACAGTTTTTGTTTTGTTCTTAGAGGTGAGAATTAATTTAGGGAAACTAATAGAAACCTTCTGAGAAAAAAAAAACCAGTACAGACTGTTTCTGAATACCAATACACAGCTGACAGGCTCAGCTCCATTTCTGAGGATGCGTAGATCATACTCTGAACTTGAGAGGAGTACGCTTTGCTATAATAGTCTTGCCAAGACTTTTACTAGACTACTAGTTGACTAGTGAGTACACTGAAGTATATTCCAGCTCAATGGTTAAGAAGCATTTCCTGCAAATACCAAAAGTATATGCTTCTGTTACTGTAGTTCTGATGTATTTTTTTCTAGGACATTTTATGTGCCTTCCTTAAATGTACTCCGTGTTTGCTTCTTTTTGATCTTAAAGGTGTTTGTATATGAGACTGCTTTTACCTGATGTTATGTAAAAGTTTTATCTTCAGATATATTATTTAAAATGGATTCATATGTTTGATAAACCACATTTTAAAAGAATTTATGAGTAATTGTGTTACCTCTTTAAAAAAAATTACTATATTGTGTACCATTTAGACAGTGTAACTATTTAGAATCCTATCTCTGCATGGTAAGCTTAACTGGATAAGTAACTTAAACTTTCTTTTATCTCAGTTGCTTCATTTATAAAATAAATACAGTGAGGGCCAGGGATTTAGCTCAGTGGTTTCGCTGCCTGCTTGCAAGCGCAAGGACCTGAGTTTGATCCCCGGTACCAAAAATACATACATACATACATACATACATACAATGAAAAGGGTACTGTATAATTGCTTAAAACATTGAATGAGTTAATACATTCAAGCAGTTAGAACACCACCTGACATGTTTAAGTGATAGTGTTTGTTGCATATATCCTCAGTATAATTGTCTACTAAACTATAACATCAGCTAATTTCAAAAATATTTTTTATTTAGAACACCAGAAGTTTTAAGATAGGTTTTCTTGTGTTAAAACCCATTTAAAATTATAGTTCCTAATTCTATAATATATAAGCAGATGTTTTATGTCAAAGACAAAGACTTTTCAGAAAATTAAGATAGTATTTTTATTTTTTTAGCTTTTAATATGCCCACTTATCAGGGATAAAGATCTTGAACAATTTCTACTGTATAATAGACTTGCCTGACAGGAAAAAATACCAGTGAAATATTAATAGGGATGTTTGGCTGGGCTATATATTTCTTCATACACATACTTTATATATACATACATATATACTTACAAATACATATAATACTACTAGCAAAAACAAATTTTAAGAGAAATTAGGTATCATAAGATGAAATTTTAATGTATTAATAGTAATTATCTCTTAGTGTTGAGATTTATGGATTTTTTTTTAGATGAGATCTCACCATGTTGCTATTCTGGCCCAGAGCTTCTGTGTTCAAGCATTCTTTTCACATCAGACTCTGAAGTAGATAAGACTATACTGGTGTACACCACTGCACCTAGCATGAGGATTTTAAAATACATTTCTGTCATGTTTTAATTTTGAAACTAATGATAAATACAGGAGTAGTTGCAGAGGACATGACTATTCGAGGAGAACACTACCTTTCGAAATACTGGTAAAGTTTTGATACTCGAATTAAGGTTATTAGATTAAGGTAAAATTTTTATCAGAAAGTAATGTTGAGAGCAAAGAAAGACAAAGACTTCAGTCTGGTTGAATTAGGGAGTTATTTTGAGAAAATTTGATAATACAAAGTTTGGGCCATCTTAAGGATATGAAATACTGTTATAGCAGTTAGGTTGTTTAGTGCTTACAAAGTGCTGGGAAGCTACACTGTACCATTGTCTCTCTATATATATTTATGAATCTTCACATGAGATCCATGAGGTATCTTTATTATCACATTTTACAGTAAGAAATTTGAGGCACAGAACATTTAATTTCCCCAGGATATCATGATATATGCTATGTGGAGGAAAGGGAAAAACTTCAAAAGCCAGGAGGAAGATTTCAGTTTAACATGGTAAATAAAGGGAAGCCACTTTTCAAGACTAATATGATATTCAGGCAGATGTGTTTAGGATAAATTAATAAAGAGTTTAGGAAACAATTCAGTTTTTAAAAAAATCCAAATGATGCATACCTAGGCTAATATTGTGGCAATGAATCTGAAAGAGTGACAAGAATATTGTTTGGGAAAGAAGCCACGGTTCCTGGTTTGGGAAACTTGAACGTCACCTTTTAAAAAAACTGGGTGCAGTGGCACATACTTGTAATCCAGTCACTTGGGAGGCTGAGGCAGGAGGCAGTAGAATCAGGTGAGTTTCATAGTGAGTTCGGGGCCAGGGGTTACATAATGAGTTCAAAGCCAGCCTGAACTACATAGTGATACCCTATCTCAAACCAAAAAAAATAAAATAAAAGTCCTAGTGGTAGGAGAATAGAATTCTTAAAGCAGTGTGGTACAGTATTTAGCAAAAAGTAACTTGGGATTTTGAATATAGTGAATTTTTTATATATAATATATAATTATAGTGAATTTTTTTTTTTTTCTTTTGGTACTGAGGATAGAACTTGGGACCTTGCACTTGCGAGGCAGGCGCTGGAACCACTGAGCTAAATCCCTAGCCCTTGAATATAGTGAATTTGTGATGATAGTGTGTGCAGATAGCTTGGAATATAATATGAAATTAAGGTTAGTGATGCAAATTTGATACACAAACCATGGGCATGAGGTGAATTTTTGTATCTGAGAAATACTGAAAAAAAATACATTGTTTTAAGTAACTATAAATTTCTGATGGTACTAGACAAACTTATTCCAAAAGCAGTTTGTTAAGGTTCTGTTATATGTGCACACAAGAAGTCTCCAACATCTTCCTCCCTGTCCCCTGTCATTAGCTGTTAGGCATTTTGTAATTTTAAGAGCAGAGTGATAGGAACAGCCAAACATTTATGTATAGATTTTGCCTGTGTTCTTCCTTTAATCTAGATCAGTGGCTGTCATACTTTACCATGTTGGTTGTATAAATAGAACCATATTATAGATTTGAGGGGATTTTTAACCATTTTGTAATATTTAATTTGCATAAGTAATTTATTCTGGCACTGTCCCTCCTACAAATTAATTTTATTCAAAAAATTAAGAATTCTTAATATTGAAGCATTAATTTATATATTAAAAACTAATCTTTTATATTTCTGTAAGCTCCCAATACATTCAGAGCTTTTATTTAAAATTGTTTTTTTGACACAGGGTCTCGCTATGTAGTCCAGCCTGGCCTCAAATTAATTATATAGCCCAGGTTGGCCTTGAACTTGAGGCAGGCCTCTTGCCTTAGTCTCCCAGGTGCTGGTGGCACAGGCCAGGCTTGAGATATCTTTTTATATATTAAAAAAATTCTAAAAACTTAAGTGTGAATCTAAAACTTGCTTTTTGTTGTTGTTGTTGTTACCCGGAATCGAACTCGGGTCCTTGCGCTTGTGCAGCAGGCGGCAAAACCACTGAGCTAAATCCCCAGCCCTCTTTTTTTTGTTTATAGAAACCTTGTGCTACACTCTTGTTCTTATTCATTAAATGTGGGAATCAGACGTTTATATGGCCCATAAGCATATTGAGTGTTACACGAATATATCCATAATTAGCTACTTTAATGGCAGCATGATTTAGACTCCAAATTTCAAACCTTTGGTTCAAAGTAGTGGAGCATAATAGAGAACCAGCACAATTATAATGGTAGAGTGGGCATTTAAAGTCCTCCCCTCCAGAGGATTTCATAATACCTATCCAACCTTGTGAGTCCCCAGATTAAAAATTGCTACTTCACATAGCTGGAAGTTGAGTAATAATAGATAATTTATTGAACCTTGAGTGGATTTGTCATTCAGTCTTCATTCCTATCCATAAAAACTATACCTGGAACCCAAACATAGAAAATAGATCTCACCTTGAAAATCTCAAGACTTTATTTAATGAATCTTCAACAATGAAGAATTGAAATGAGCCAGGTGTGGTGATGCACACCTGTAATCCCAGCACTAGGAAGACTGAGGCAGGAGAATTGCTGGGATTTCGAGGCCAGCCTGGACCACATAGTGAGTTCAAGGTCAACCTGAACTATATAGCGAGACCCTATTGCCAAAGAAAAAAAAAAAGAAAACTTTTTTACTTCAAAGTTGAGTTATGACTAATATTAGCAATTGCTAATATTTCTTCCTCAGATATAATGCATTTCAAATTATAGTATCATTAAAACTACATAATACCATTTTCACATAGTTTTTATTTTGTGGTGCTAGAGATTAATCCCAGAGACTTGTTACCACTGAGCTATACCTCCAGTCCTGTTCATTAGTTGTCATACAGGTATCAGCATGTAGTGACCAGCATTGCTCAGGATATTATGCATAGCATTTAATTGTATAATGTGTTGAGATAGGATACAGTTTTAAGTAAATGCCTATGCACAAGTTTGAATTCAAAACCAGACCTCTTTTGAGCTTGGGCCTTATTGTTCAGTGAAATATTGACAATAAGCTTACATATGTTCCAAGATGACAGAGAAAGCTTTGAAGATGTACACATGATTGAAAAAGAGTCAGTGAGGTCAATCTAGTTAACATGTTAAAGCTGTGCTTATAACAAACTAGTAGATGTTATTTTTATATTTTTCTGCATGTCTGAATGATTTCTTCATTTTTATATTCTAATCAAATGTTCATGGAACCTCTAAATTGCCTTTGCTAAATCCTTATCCTTGGGATGAAATGGTTTGGGGAAAAAAATGCATGTTTGGGCCTTTTAAGTTTAGCTTTTTCTTTAGTCATTACTTTAGAATCCACACACACAACATAAAGTGTGTATGGTAATTTTATATATATTTCTGGAATCCAGCATTATTTCTTGGTATTTGATATCAGCTTTGAAATCTAAGAAAGATACATATGTCATAAGAGTAACAATATATAAATGGCCATGTGTGGTGGTCCATGCCTAAAATCTCAGCACTCAGGAGACTGAGGATTGCTATGAGTTCTAGGCCAGCCTGGGCTACATAGTGAGGCCCTGTCTTACAGTAGTTGTGATGTTTCTGTATTTTTTTTTGTGTGTAGGGGTACCAGGGATTGAATTCTGTTCCTTGCGCTTGCGCAGCAGGCGGCGAAACCACTGAGCTAAATCCCCAGCCCATTTCTATATTTCTTAATAGCAAACAGTGCCCAAAATATTGTTTCCCTAGTTTAACCATCAAGCTTTCAAAAGTCATGGACATGACTAAAAGCATCCACAGGAAAGAATAGCAGTTAACAAATCTGAGAATAAACAAATTGGAAAAATGAGAATCAGACAGTGCATTTATTGAGGTACATTTTGGATTCTGGGATTAATGAGTAGGATATTCAAATGAACGCAGTAAATGGGAGGATTCTTTTAGTGGCTCTTTTAAATGTAAGCTGCAGAGGCTCAGCTAATTTCTAAAATCTAAGTAGTGCTGTTTAAAATATGTTTATTTGAATGGGAAATTTTTGTTCCATGTGCATTTTCTACGTTTTTTTCTTCTGGTAATTGTAGAGCAGCTGAACCCATTAACAGTTATATCCTAAAATTGTGCGTTTATGTTAAACTTTTCTGTAATATAAGATATACTAAATGTGGAAGACAGTTTTTAAAAATTTTTTCAAATGGCCATCAGGTAGTGTTCACAAATATATTTTGTGGTATACATTTTGAACTGTCTGGTTAGTAAGATATAATTAATTTTTATAGAATGAAATGGACTCTAGAAAGTCATTTGACTTAAAATTAGTTGTTGGTAAAATTTATTTATTTATTTTTTTGGTACCGGTGTTTGAACTCCATGTCCTTGTGCTTATGAGGCAGGTGGCGGAACCACTGAGCTAAATCCCCGGCCCTAAAATTTATTTTTATAAAAAGAAATTTATGTATGACTATAGATACACATACATCTAAATATGTCATTGATTATATTTTCTGACATTTTTTAGGGTTAAAGGAAATAATAGCACTTAATAAATAAGAGCAGCTATATATACTTTGTTGGTACTCAAACATATGAATGGTTGTATTTACGTGTAGTTTATGTGCATGTTTGTGTTGTCATGTAAATGTATGGTGCATAGGGCCAGTTTCTTTCAGAAGCTCTGAAAATTAAGTGTTGCATGACATTTCTGTGGAGTATGAGGTGGGGCTAACTTGTAAGTAAAACTACATACATAACATGTCTTGTGGATTTTGCATGCTGCACTAATCTCTGTCAAATCTATCCCCCTCTTTATTCAGAGCATGCTGTCAAGGTCCTTTAATTCCAATTTCACTGCTGTAAGCAGCTCTCAGTATGGCAGCTCTAGGGATCTACATGGCAGCCAGGGCAGTCTTGCCTTGAGTGTTGCAGATGGAAGAGGTTCTGGTGGGCACATTTTCCAAGTGAGTACCTGCAATAGACCAATATTGTTAGTGAACAGAAGAGAAAACTCAAAAATTTAAATGTTGTAATGCTTTTAGAAAAAAAAAAAGTTGATTGTGGGTTAGAAATCTTGATTTCCTCTGAGTTTCTTCCATGGCTTATTTCTAAAAATAAGCTTTATTGCTTTCTTTGGCCGTAAGCCAATGATGTAATTAGTCTACACAAGACGGAATGAATAATAGTCGTAACTATTTTTTTAAATCTATTTTTTGTATTTTTCTTTTTCTGTTAAAATTAGCTTGCTCTCTCTCAGAATTTTGTGTTTTGTTTTTGCTTTTTGAGACACAGTGTCATGGCATAGTTCAGGCTGGCCTTGAACTCACTGTGTAACCCAGGCTGCCCTTGAACTCACAGCAATCCTCCTACCTCAGCCCCCCAAGTCCTGGGATTACAGCTGTGTACCACCACACTTGGCCTCTAACTCAAGATTTAAAAAATAGGCCATATGTAACTCACATAAGGGAGATGTTGTAAGAAAGGATAATTTGAACTGTAGTATCTGAGAATTGACTAAAATGTACTACATGTACTTAAATTTAATCATATTTTCCTGAATATGATTTAATGTGAGCCTGGAGGAATTGTAATAAATACCAAAAAATAGGCAAAACCCAAATCATTTATTACCCACACATCACCATAAAATTAGTAGTGAAAAAGATAGATTTATTATTTTAATGCAAGTTTATGCTTAAGGCATAAAAATTACAGAGGCAGAGAAAGAACAACTCTGTGGCTCAATATTTAGAGTTTTCTCTCGGTAAGAACTTAAAGTGGTAGTATGACCTCTCAATAAGTATTTTTTTTAATCCTGAAAAGACCTTTCTCCCCTTTTAACATTATTTTTATTCCTCCCGTATTTTGTTTCCATTTTGACAGTGCTTCCTTTTGGGTTCTGTACTTGTTCCTGAGCATTCTTTGTCTGCCTCCCCCGCCTTTAAATACATCTTGGTTTTACTCTGTTGTGTTCTAGAGTGTAGGACCGTTTCCTGAATTCACGTGCTCTGGACATACCTAATCAATCTTGCCCAGTCCTCTGTCACATGCTGTGACTTGGTATCTGTGCTATAACAATCATTTTGAAGGTTCTTAATTTGAAAGAGGGAGAAAAGGGTGGTTAGTATTGAGCCCTCATTCCAGCAGAGTCCGTGGGGTAAGGACAGCGGCCTTTTTCTTCACTCGGGTAATGTTTACCATTTGTAGTTATTTGGAACAACAGTTCTTTCCAAGTCTTTCACAGTAACATTTTGTGGGTTTTTCACAAATTGAGAGCCTTTGAGTCTGTTGAACTTTACTTTTTCATTCATGATATGCTTGTTCTTTTAGGGAGTAGATAAACATAATTACACATTCGGGTTTGAGTTTAAATTTCAGACTTTCAGCTGAGTTGATTTTGTGCATTCTAAATGTACATTGCAAGTAAGAAGGAAAATACAAGTATACTTTGTGTGAATATACAGAATTGATCAAACTACACTCAAAATTGCTGAGCCATGGTTGGAACTAGCACCTAACTGCATATGATAGATCTATTGCAGGCATAGTTCTTAAGATTAAATTATAAATCTCTTAAGTTTATGTGCTTGCTGTACTATATCATATAATGAGGTAGATTTCAGATTGTTTTTCAGCATGATTAGTCTACATTTCTATGTTGCTGGGCATATACATGTTTGGAATAACAATAGTGCTGTTTGTTACAAGCTTCTGTTTTCTAAAATATATCAGGGTGTGTAAAAAATACAAAGGTCTTGTTTGTCAGCATTTTTCTTTTTTTTTTTCCTGGTACTGGGAATCGAACTCAGGACCTTGCGCTTGGAAGGCAGGTGCAGTGCCACTGAGCTAAATCCCCAACTGTCAGCATATTTTTAATAAGAAATATTCACGAATAATGGCATATTGAGTCTGTTTCCTTTAAAACAATCATAAGGCAAACTATACTATAAAAATATTTGACAAATGAAGATATGGACTAATTTTAAAGCATTTCTCCAAATCATTGCTTTTATAATACTGAACTAATTTTACTGTGACAGAATTAAGATAAAGCCAGTTTTATAAGACTAATTAATGATACTTCTTTATACACATTATGTGCTTTTCATACATTACAAATTTAGGAAAAAACATTGTATTGTACTGTGCTATTAGAACAGGAGGGGTTTTTTTATTGCTCAATAGCAGTATATTTTAGTTGGCTCTTTATATGTGAGACTATTGGGCTGGGATGTAGCTCAATGGATTTAATTTTGATGAATAACTACAGTTATTGCTAAAAGATGTTAAAATTATAGGTATTATTAGGGCTGGGGATTTAGCTCAGTGGTTCTTACACCTGCCTTGCAAGCACAAGGTCCCGAGTTCAATCCCCAGTACAAAATAAATAAATAAATAAAATAAAATTTAAAATATACATATATAAACACAGCACACACGCACAGGAATTATTGTAAATGAAACTAAAAGAAAAAACACAGAATTTGTCTTCTGTACATGTGCATTATAAATTAAGATTAACTGATCCACATAAAATTTTCACATGTTATATGAACACACACTTTTCCATGTGCCTTGGGAAAAAGTTAAAGGTACTGATTGATAGCAGCAAATGATTGTAATATTTTATTTAGATCTTCATCTTCCTGGGTTTTGTTTTGGTTTTTTTGGTACCAGGGATAGAACTCAGGACCTTGCGCTTGCGAGTCAGATGCGGTACCAATGAGCTAAATCCCTGGCCCTTTTGCATTTTTAAAAAAAAATCACTCAAGTATCATCATTTTGGTTTTGCATCTTAAATTGTTTACTTTTTATTTTCCCCTCATTTGAAGCATGCCTGGACATCCAGTCCAGGAGATTCTTGCCAAGATGATACATTCATTTCAGCACAGCAGAGCTACTCATCAGCTACACTTAGTCACAAAGATGTTCTTCCAGACAGCTTGATGAAAGTAGGTGCTTAATGAAGAAATAAATTAAGTAGTACCTGTGAGCTTTCTGTGTTTTGCAGCCTTTGAGCTGTAAGTCCCATATATGCTTTAACTGAAAATAGTTTTATAAAGGCTTTTCTACCTTAATTAGTGAGACTTATTTTTTTTCTTTTTTTTTGTGGTACCAGGAATCGAACTCAGGACCTAGCACTTGCAAGGCAGGCACGGTGCCACTGAGCTAAATCCCCAGCATGAGACTTATTTTTAAATAATTCAGAAATACAAAATAGAATTTGATTCTGCTGTTTCTCAACTTACTCCATTTTTATTGTTGCATTTGTATTTCTACAGTACTGCTTACTTATTTTTTAATTTGAATCAAAGACTTTTTTGGCATTCCTGATTGTAAACCTATCTGGAGAGTTAACACATTCCTTTTAACACTGACCTAGGCAAGACCAAATATCCAGGTGTCAGCAAATCTTAATAGGTCAGGGGCTGGGCATGGTGGTGCATGTCTGTAATCCTGGCACTTGGGAGGCTGAGGTGGGAGGATCACTGCAAATTTGAGGCAAGCCTGGGCTACATAGTGAGTTCAAGGCCAGGCTGAACTACATAGGTAGACCTTGTCTCAAAAAAAAAAAATACGGTCGCGGGACTAGGAGTGTATAATATTTTTCATTCTAGGCTCTTGTACTATTACTAAAAAGATTTTAAAATTCTTTGAATTAATTAGAAATTACCTTGAAAGACTTTTGTATCTGGCTGTGGTGGCACACACCTATAATCCCAGCACTCAGGAGGTTGAGGCAGGAGATTCACTGGGAGTTCAAGGCCAGCCTGAACTACATAGTGAGTCCCTGTCTCAAAAACACGCACATACACACACACACAAAACGTTTTGTATATGGTAGAACAGATGATAGTTATGGTCTTAGTACTTTGTAGAAAGAAAGTAGCACCCACATTTCTTGTTCTCTGTGCTTTTATAATAGTATTTTATATTCTCTCTTTCTCATTCTCTCTCCCTCACTCCCAGACATTCTTTTTGGTAGCTTGGCCTAGACTCAAGCTTGCTGTTAAACACAGGCTGGCCTCAAAGTCAAGATCCTCCTGCCTCAGCCTCCAGAGAGCAGGAATTACAGAAATGTGCCATCAAAACTCCACTCTTTCTCATTTTCTTAACTAATTATATGTCTCTAGTATAACTAGATAAAATTATGAAGCACATTTTTTACATAAAGCCTTACATTGTTATAGAGTAGGTACTTAGCCATCTAATATACGTTCATGCATATCTGGTTTTTTACTCCTCTTTATTTTAACTGAGCACTGTCATCCAGATTCTTTTTCTTTTTAATATAAATTTTGTGGTTGAAGTTACTGACTTTATGCATTTTTATTCCCTTGAGCCATCTGCTAATCACAGTTTAATGTATTGTATATTTTTAACACTGACCCAGGCAAGACCAAATATCCACGTGTCAGGGAGTCTTAGGAATAGGTCAGGGGGAGCCGTGGATTTAGCTCAATGATACCATTCCTGCCTGGCAAGTGCAAGGTCCTGAGTTCAATTCCCGGTACTGGGGTTGGGGATTGATCAGGGGACTAGGGACATAATGGTAGAGTGCATGCCTAATGTGTGCAAGCCCTGGATCAATCTCAACACTGCGTCTATGAATTATTTAAAATACTAAAGTCAGTTGTAATTGTCTGAATTTTTCTCAGGAGAAAAATACTGAAATCTACACATACAAATAAATGGTATAAACACAGAGAAAAGCAAAGACAATCTACAGAATTACATATTGCAGGAGACATGTTCATTATGCCCAAAGCAGGCTGTAAGCAGTGCAGGCTGTGAAGAGTTAACAGCATAATTGGCTACAGAAGTGAGTCTGCCCAAAAAGCCTTCAGGCCGAGGTCAGAGTAACTCACACCCAAATTCCATTCCCACAACTAAAATATTCTTATTACGGTATGTAATAAAGTAACAGCCAGTTAATTATCCATGGATTGATCAGTTGCTTCTAAATCTACAGTGATCAAGTAATAAACCATAGTTAGTTTTTAAAATAGTTGTTATATAGTACCTCCTTTATCCCCACTAATATAAAATTTGTGAGAGTATTATTGTTTCTGTGCCCTGACATAAATCACCCATGTATTTTTCTAGACTTAAGAATTAACTAAGTTCTTAAATATAAAAAAAAATAGCGGAAAAGTACCTTTTTTAAAGTACAAATTTTCTTCTTCAAAGCCAAACTTCTTTGTGTCTTTCAGGAAAATATAAATTCACAAAAAGAAAAGCATGCAGTTTTAAAACTAATACCAAACTGTTCTCCAAACTTTTCTACTTTTGGGTAATTTCAGGGAAATGGGCTCAACTGTTTCCTAACATTTTTCTGCTAATTTCCTTATGAACAAGGCAACCGACAAGGAAGATATAAATGACTGACTAGCTTAAACATTTATTTTCTCTTCACAAAAATCTTTTTACATACAAGCATTTAGTACATGAATGTAACCTCTCATTTTCCAGTTATATTCCTCATACTAGCAGGATAGATTGTTACTTACGTTTCTTGCTAAATTTGAGTCTAAAATTCAGGTTCAACTTGTAAAAACAAGAGCTATTAAGGAATATCAGTGTTTGATTTTTATGGTTAATATTCTTTGAAATTTAAGAGAATTTAAGAAATTTAAGAGAATTTGAGAATTGCTAACTTTTTTTTTTTTTTTTTTTGGTGATACTGGGGATCAAACTCCAGACCTTGTACTTGCCACGTACAGTGCCACTGAGCTACATCTGTGGCCCGAAAATTCCTAACTGATGTATGCATACACATGAATATAAAGACTAAATCCATTTTCTACTACATAGATAGCTAAATTGATCTTCTAATTCTGGAAGGTCAGGAGTGAAAGGTAGAAAAATACTCAAATTAGAAAAAAATTACACTGCAAAATCAGTTTTTTTCCTGAGGAAAACATCAGTAAATGTACCTTTTCTGTATGTGTTTTGATTTAGTATAGGGCAAGGATGGACCTTATAATAGGTTTTAATTTTTTAAATTTAATGTACTGTTTACTATTTTAATATTTGGTTATTGTGAGAAAGGAATATTTATACCTAACAATGAAGCATATAATTTGAAATGTAGGAATAACAATCAGCAAGCACTCGAGCAAGTTTAAAAGTAACATTAACAGTCTTTTTCCTTCTAGAGTTTAGAATTAGAGGAAAATAGTAAGTGACATGGTATTTTGTCATTTGGAATGTTAAAACTAGGTTTTTTTTTGTTAAACTAATTTTTTGATAATGCTCCAAAAAGAAAAATCCAAGTATTTGTAATAAGACATTACTATTGGTCATTTTAAGATACTTCATGTTTTTCTTAGATGCCTTTGAGTAATGGACAGATGGGCCAGCCTCTCAGGCCTCAGGCAAATTATAGTCAAATACATCACCCCCCTCAGGCATCTGTGGCAAGGCATCCCTCTAGAGAACAACTAATTGATTACTTGATGCTGAAAGTGGCCCACCAACCTCCATATACACAGCCCCATTGTTCTCCTAGACAAGGCCATGAACTGGCAAAGCAAGAGGTAAGAATAATCAAGACTATTTGAAATATGAAACTAAGCTTTTCATGTATTCTTAAAGGTTAATTATTAGCAATAAGCCCTTATAGAATTTTAACATAGTATTTACTATCTTGTTTAAAGTTTTAGTTTTCTGTTGTTTATAGAGTATCACATGATACAGTTTTAACTTGTGATCATCTGACACAGGATTTAGTATTTTGGGCATATTCTTTTTAACTGTGAGGCAATTGCTTTACAGGAATTAAGCTGAAATGACTGTGATACTTCTGTGATACTTAAAGCCTTAGATTTTGAAAATTAACTATAGTTGTTCTCCAAACTACTTTGAACATTGATTGATTGACTTCGGTTTATTTTGAGACAGTCTTGCTATGTAGTGCTATGTAGTTCAGGATGAACTTGAACTCACTTTGTAGCCTAGGCTGGCCTCAAACTCACAGAGATCCTCCTGCCTCAGCCTCCTCAGTGCTGGGATTACAGGCATGTGACCCGATACCTGGCTACTTTTGAGTATTTAATCTTTAAAGTTACAGATGATGAATTCATAAATCTTCATAATGTATTGGTAAAATGATTAATAATAAAAGCTTAGAGATCAAATACTTTAATCATTTTGGTTGAATATCTGGTAAAAGAGAGTATCCGGTAACAAAAATTTAGTTTTTGCATCTGTTTATTTATTTATTTATTTATTTGGTACCAGGGATTGAACTCGGGACCTTGCACTTGCGAGGCAGGCGCCAGAATCACTGAGCTAAATCCCCGGCCCTAGTTCTTGCATCTTTTTAATAGCTAGGCTATAGAAATTACTATGAGATGATCAGATTTTAAGATTGAACTCCTTTGAAGCATATGAACAGATTCAGGAAATTAGGAATTTAATACCACCAAAGAATCATTAAAATATCTTATGAAACAAGCCAGTAGATAGGCATACTTTACAATTTAGATGTTCCACAACTGGAAACTGAAAATAATATACATGTTCTATATTTATGCACTATGTCACAAAAATTCATGCTGTCACAATACTAAAGTAGGGTCAGTATTAATTGATTCCCTATTTTCATAAGCAGTAAAGTTAGGTACTATGCTTTATAATCCCACTGTGCCTTTAACTCACTAACTTATTAACATAATGTTCTATGTTGTAGTTTCAGTTCATCTGCCCAAATGTTTATTTTTTATGAATCCTTACATATTTTTGCTTGAACTTCATTTACCAGTATTTAAATATGGATATTATTGTAAACTTATGAAATAGTAATGTTTCCTTTATTTTCATATTAAATCAGATCCGAGTAAGGGTTGAAAAGGATCCAGAACTTGGATTTAGCATATCAGGAGGTGTTGGGGGTAGAGGAAACCCATTCAGACCTGAGGATGATGTAAGTCTTGTTTACATATCCTTGAACACTCACAATGTTTCATTTATTAATTCAGTACCTGTTTTATGCAAGTGAAAATATAAATATAATATAAATAGGTACTTAAGTAAATCTAGGTAGATATCTTTATTTCCTTCTGTATTGTTCAGCTTGTGAAATTTAATCTATTCAAGTTAGTTGAGAAAAAAATATATTTAAAAAACCTCAAAATTTTGAATGTTCTTTTTATTGTCAAGTGATTTTTAAAATTTTCTTACTGCTTTTCCACAAATCTATCCAAGTAAATTTATCACTGTAACAGAAATCACTGTACTAAAGCCAGAATTACCAGAGGCAAAAATAACTGGGTTGTCACTGTGTTACGGAGACAGGGAGGAAATTGTACCATGATTCTAATGTTTGGATGGTATGGAAAAGTAGCTTCTCGTTCCTCTGTTACTTATGCATACTGTTATTGGTTAAATAATTATCTTTTGTTGTTGTTGTTGTTGTTGTTATTAAAGGGTATATTTGTAACAAGGGTCCAGCCTGATGGACCAGCATCAAAATTACTGCAACCAGGTGATAAAATTATTCAGGTAATTAAGATAAATTTTTAAATTATTTCCTTTTCTTTTATAACATCTTATTGTTTATAGTTTGAAATATTTTCACTTTGTATCTTCAGAATCATGCTTATGTGCTTGATAAAATATTTTAAGTTCAGGAATGTTAATTTTTACTAATTTAAGGGGTCAGAATATCACATGTTGAAGGTGGGTTGTCATCATAGGAAAATAGAAAGGAAATTTTCAGAATTTGGGTAGTCCTTTTTATTTTCCCATGTCCTTTTCTCTGTTCCTTCAGTTTTGCCTGACTGCATGCAGTATAGAAGGAAAATAAGCCTCAGGCCCAAATGTAGCTTCTCCTCCTTTACACCTGCCTTCACTGTTGAAAGTTCATATATAGCACTGAGAAATAAATAACTCTCCAAACAAAAAATAATACAGACCTAGAAATGACTGAAAGTACAGACTGTGGAACCAGACTGCCTATGTTTGAATCCTAGCTTCAATGCTTTTGAAAATAATGTAAAAGTTTTTTCTTAATTTTTAATTTCAAGCAGGAAAATCTGCAAAAATAGCCAGGCATGGTGGCACATGCCTTCCATCCCATTACTCTGCAAGGCTGAGGCAGTGGGATCACAAGTTTGAGCCCAAACTGGGCAACCTAGTGACTTAGTAAAATTGTGTTTCAAAATAAAAAAGATCTGGAGATGTAGCTCAGTGAAGGCCCTGAGTTGAATTCCTAGTACCACCAAAATAAAACCTTGTCATCTATGTACACTTCATTTGGTCACCAGTTGCTAATATTTTGTCCTATTATCTTTAGTGTTTATTATCTTTTCCTCCTTCCCTCCCTGTATATACAAGTACACTCTCTCATGCCCATTTACTTTTAACAATCTGGGAATTTGTGGTGTTTTTCTGTTTTTGTTTCTTTTGAGACAGGGTCTTATTATGTAGGTCAGGCTGTCCTTGAACTTACTGTCGAGCCTAAGTTGACTTTGAACTTGCAGCAATCCTCCTGCCTTACCCTCCCAAGTGCTGGGATCACAGGCATGCACCACCACACCTGGAAAATTTGTGATTTCAATTTTGTAACTGAGGAAGTTAACTTTACCTGTTAACTGGGTTTCCTCTGACATAAGATGAAAAAAATCTCTTGAATGTTGTGATAATCAAAGGATTTAATTCATATAAAGTACTTTAAACTGTCTGGTGCAGAGTAAGATACCAATAAATGTTAGCCTTAAATTTTAAAAATCTAGGGGTCTTGAAGTTAAAGAGAAGACTAGGCTTGGCCCTCTCTCACCCTTTCAGTTTGTTCTCCTTGGGTACACATCCAGCGCACATACACAGCACCCTGTCTGATGCAGTCTTAGACATGTGGTTTCTAACATGGGACTGCTACATCAGGATAGTGTGATTACTTGGACAAAATAACGGGTTCCTGAACTGTTCTGAGATTTTATTTCCATAGATATGGGGTAAGGTCCATTAGTCTATATGTTGTTTTAAATTGCCAAAGTAATGCTTTTTTTCTGCCTGCTCCTAAATACAGAAATGAAAACAAATTACTATGAAAAATAAAGCATTTTTCTTCTTTCTTTTAGGCTAATGGCTACAGTTTTATCAATATTGAACATGGACAAGCAGTGTCTTTGCTAAAAACTTTCCAGAATACAGTAGAACTCATTATTGTACGAGAAGTTTCCTCATAAGCACTGTGGACAAAAAAAAAAGATGGGGGGAAGGACAGCAAGATTTATCAGAAGATACTTGCAGGGGAAATTAATATTTTGACTATTTTTATATGTAAAGAAGAACTTGATCCTGTTCAAATTTGTACATTAATGAAATAATGAAGCTTGGGGTTAGAGGGAAAGAACCACTCTACAGAAGATAAAGGAGACTGTTGAATTCATATCATATAAAACTTGTTAGGTTTTTTAAACATAGCAGTCAAGGCTACAAAAACAAACTTATGTTGGTTTTGTATAGATTGTAGGTTTATTTTTGAATTTCATACACATGACTGAACTGTGCAAGGCAATAGTTAGCCTTGATTGTAGCCCAGAGACAGATGGCAGAGCTGTCTATCTTACAGCTTTTATGCCCTTATTTTTATCCAACTTTTGTTAATGTTTTTCTGTTAAAACTATTTTTTTTTTTTGATGTGGGCAAGAGATTTGAAGTGTTGGGTTTTGCTATGTGCATACTGAATTGAAGAGTGAGTAGGTGAAGGTGGTGCTGGTGGGGTCACTTTCCAAGGCCAGGTTAAAAGTTATTTCCTATAAAAATCTGGAAGCAAAGAATTAAAAAAAAGCTGATGAGTTTTTATTAATAGAAAAATGCAATAAAATATGTAATGTCTTTTTAAAGAAGTAAAAAGATAATAATTGCATTTTATGAGCTCTACAAGGTCTGTTGTCATAGCCATTTATATACATTTGCTACTGATGATTCAATTTTTTAATTTTCTAGTCACAGGAAATTTTTAACTACTGTAGATGCAAGTCCATGCATTCCTCATGCTATAGAAATCTTTTTTTTTGTAAATGCCGATACTTGCAACCTGTTTTATAGTTAGTACTCTACTTTAATCTAATTAATGTTTTGTTTTAAACAGCAAATGGAACTAAAATGGCCAGTTTTAAGATTATGCTGCCTGTAAACACAACATGTAAGAAGGTTCAGGAAAGCCTCTTTGTTTTTGTTTGACCTTGAATTGCCTTGGTAAAGTAAAGGAAACATGGAGTATGTGTGGAGCTAGGAAACCAAAGCAAGTTTGTGAAACTGGCACAGTGATAGAGAATTGCTGTGGAGAGTTGTAGAACAAAGGGATGGGTCCTCGAGACCTGCCAGTGTGGAAAATTGTTCAAATAATGGGCTGTTCCTGTAAGTAACATTAAATGTGAACTTGATGCTTTAGAGTCCTTAAAGGGTTTCTAAGTGAATCCATGTAATAGTGTTGCCACCAACTGCCTTTGTTCTAGTTACTGTAACTTACAAGTGTTTGATGATATAGGTCTATTAATTTTGTTTATCTAAATCATTAATTTTGTTTTTATTGTATGTAATCAAATAAAATTTGAGTAACATGCAATGATAAGAATTAATGCATGGTTATTTGGACCAGAAAAAAGTGCCATAGAAGACTAATAACTGTTTTTAGTTGAGGCTGGTCTAAAACCTTTTATTAGAGCCATACTCAGTTCTTCCATTCATTTTTAATTTCTAAGAAATACACTTAGGGAATTTTTAATGTTACTATTTTTCTTTAAGACCTTTATAAGACTAGCTGAAATACCAACCTACACTATTTCTGAAAAAGTGAGTAGAACTCACTTTCTAGTCAGAGTAAATAGCACTTTTAAAAATATGTGAATTCAAATACTGCACATCTTTCAAGATGTTATCAATTGGTTATTATACTGTATAGTTGTAATAATTTTGATTGAAACCCTTTAACAACTCTTTGTAAATTGTAACTCATTTTAGTTGATTTTCAGTACTATTTACATAGGAATTGATTTTTATGGATATAGTAGAAGAAATGTGCTGTATTTTGGTAAAATTCACTTGTATGTGTTTTAATTTCTAAAAAAAAGTGACAAACATCTTTAAGACAAGTGTCAGTGTTCCCTTTATTCTGTTGATTTAAAAATAATAATTTTGGCTTTGTAAAATGCTCACATTTATATTTAATTAATTTCAAGTTTTCATAATCACATTCCACCTTTTATTAGTAATATATAATAATTGTAAAGACCCAAGATTATATTTTGGAAAAGGAATTAAGCCTCACAGAAGAATTGATTCTTCAGTGATCTACTTTTAAATTCATTATCTGCATATTTTATTGAAAAATATTACAAGTGTAACAGCACTAGTATTTAATTCCATTCTAGTTCATTTTAAAGTTTTGTGACATTCTATGTAGAATTAAGAAAGTTTGTTACCATGAAGAGTAGTACATGATACAATATAAACAGAAGAAAAAAGAGGAAAAGGGTTTTGTATTTAATAGCCAAAGTTTTTTTCCAAAATATTGGGAAATTAAAAGACAAGAATTTTTATTAGAGTCTGCTATTATAGTAACCAAGTTTCAAAATTCAGCATACTAATTTAAATCTTTTGAGGAAATGAAGACAACTTTAGGGTTTTTTTTTCCCCCTGCTTAGAGTTTTAGTTTATGTTCTGTTGAGTGAATTATAGTTAAACTCTGTACTCTTAACTGACTTTAGCAAGTATTATGTGGCAAATTTTCAAAACAAAAACTGCCTTCTTTTAACAGTGTTAAAATTTCTTACCCTAAGCAGTAAAATTTTATACCAGTAAAAATGACATTGATCAAAATAATTTATTCAATATAGAATTAGTGACACAAACTAGTTTTATGTTGATTTATTAAGGAATCAGTTCATCTGAATCAGTAGTCTTCTAACATTATCTTGTAAATATTTTTCTGATCTCTTTGGACTGATCTTGAGAATGTGTATATACTTGAAAAATTCTTTTGAACACAACTTGCTGTACTTTAAAAAGTCACATTAGTAGCTGTGTAATATTTTTATCAGCATCTATCCAACATTCCAAATTTTGTATATATCTAGATTGTTTGAAGTAACACATAGAGGGTAGAAAATAAAAGATTGGTGTTTTAAGTTGTGTGGTTTATTTTATGAAATTCAGGGTTAGTGAAATTCTCATAAAAGGAAGGATACACAATTTTTTTTGGTACTGGGGATCGAACTTGGCTCCTTGCGCTTGCGCAGCAGGCAGTGAAACCACTGAGCCCAGCCCTGTTTTTTGTTTTTTAGTATTAAAACCCTTATATTTCTGAGTATGGAAAAAGTATAATATACCAATAGTAATAAATATAGTATCATTATTATTTATTATTTTACTTGTAAAGGAAGCCTTTAAGGTTGAGAAGTATTTTCACATGGAGATTGACAATAAGTCAAATCTATCTTGTTTTTTTTGGAGTACTGGGGATCAAACTTGGGACCTTGCACTTGCAGGGCAGGCGGTGGAACCACTGAGCTAAATCCCCAGCCAGTCAAATCTATTTGGAAAGGTATTTTTTTCATTCACTGTGATGTATTTTTAAATGTTATTTTAATGCTTAGTAAATAGATGACTTATGAAAAAGTAAAATAAAAATTAAAGTAGTATTTTTGATTCATCAAGAATATTAATGAACATTAGGTGCCTTTAACAAAAGTAATATAGATTGGATAGAAAACAACTCAGGCCTTCACATACTGTCTTGTTTTAAATAAGAACCTTCATAAAAGTTTTGAACATCTGATATCTTTAGCTGTGAATTTTTTTTTTTTTTTTGCCAGTACTAGGGATCAAGCTCAGGACCTTGCATTTTGCTAGGCAGGTGTGGAGCCACTGAGCTAAATCCCCAGCCCCAGCTGTGAATTTTTTACAGAATTTATAAGCCCAGGATTCAGAGTTAAGTCATTTTGGCAAATGTTTAAGAGAATGCTATCTTCTTTTTTAGGGCTGTGCGGTCTCATAAAGCAAATTTCAAGATTAAAATTTGTGGTCTCCAAAATTACATGGTTATAATATTTAAGCACTTCAGAAGCTTATTCTAAATTGAAAAAGCTTACTTTAGAGAAAATGATTTTTAGAGAAATTTTTTTTAAGAGAACAATTTAGATACCTCAACCTATTTTTAGGATTATTTGGAAAGAAGTTGTAAAAAGAATCTCTATTACAACTTTATTTTCAAATATAACAACTAGGACCATGATGAACTGTTGTGGCACTACATGTACATGTACATGTATGTGGCCCATCTAGCTTCTCAGGCAACTCATAATTTAATTTCAGGATAAAATTTAAGCAGCTCGTGTATCAGCAGTAAAGGGAGAAAGTTAAGTACAAAATTTTTGCTCTTAATCCAATAAAACCAACTTTGCATGAAAAACCCACATATGTTTGACTTTCCTTAAATTAATCAAACTGATATCCAAGGTTTAACTTTAGAAGCAACTCTTTTTTGGTACTGGGGATCAAACTCAGGACCTTGCACTTGTGTAGCAGGCAGCAGCACCACTGAGCTAAATCCCTGGCCCTAGCAGCAATATTTTCATGTGCTCTCTTCTCAGTGTTTCCTCAACAGAACCTAATGAAAAATTAATAGAAGTTGAAAAGCATTAATGCATGAGCAGGAAGCATGGGTTTTAGGATAAATTATTTTAAGTCTCATCTTTTAAACTGTCCAGAATAGATATTAACCATCTTTTACATTTGGGTCATCCTTTTACATGGCATCCCTCAAGAGGATGCTTATTTTCCCAAGAACAGGAAGAATCATTTGTCGTCTTCAAGGTAGCAGTCTTCACGCTTAAATGAGCCTTCCTCCCCATCTATGCACTTAGAAGGACAACAAAGGTTGTTACTATTATATGTAGGTGGATGTGGTGATGCATGCCTGTAATTTTAGCACTTAGCTGAGGCAGGTGGATTAGGATCAGCCTGACCTCATAGTCAATTCAAGGTCAGCCTGAACTATAGTGAGACCCTGTCTTTAAAAAATGTGTGTGTGAGGCTGGGGATTTAGCTCAGTGGTTCTGCCACCTGCCTCGCAAGTGCAAGCTCCCGAGTTCAATTCCCGGTACCAAAAAAATAAATAAAAAATGGGTGTGTTCTCTTAAATATTTAATCTCCTGGATTAATTTTGAGGAATTCTTTGAAGACCTCAGGCAGATAGGATGTGAAATGTGGATTTGGCTTCAGAGACATCCCAAACATTGGAGACAGAAGTTGTAGATAATGATTGGGATAATACATGATAAAAATTGGTTAGGTCAGTCACCATTTTTTTATGCTAAGGAGTATGCAGAAGGTGTCTGGTTCAAAGGAGGAACAATGAGCGTGGGTGTTTAGAATAAAAACCAATAGAGCCCTATTAAGCTAACATGGTCTGCCAAATTGAATGTCTTCTGTGCCTACCGTTACTGCCAATAGTTTGGAGTAACCAAGTAATACTCTTCAGCCCATACTAAGAAAAGATAATTGAACATTGAGGACAAGAAGAGAGTCACCAAACAGAAGCATCGGTACCTAAAAAAACAGCACAAAAAGTGCTATCCTTTTTTTTTTTTTTGGTACCAGGGATCGAACTCAGGTGCTTGTGCTTGCGAGGCAGGCAGCGGAATCACTGAGCTAAATCCCTGGCCCAAAAAGTGCTATCTTTTGAGAGATGAGGATACTGGGTTTATAGAACAAGATTTAGACATGGTGGCACATGCCTGTAATCCCAGTACTTGTGAGGCTGATGCAGGATGATCACTGCCACTTTGAGGCCAGTCTAGGCGAGTTCACAGCCAACTTGGAACTAAACAGTGACACCCTGTCTCAAAAACAACAGCAAAAAAAACTATTAAGATGTTATGTAAGGCTTAATTGCTTTTAGGTTTTGTTTTTGGTGCTAGGGATCAAACCAGTGACCTCACAAATGATAGGCAAGTGTTTTATCAGCCACATTGCCAACCTCTAAATTTATAATGTAAAACAAAATTTTAAAATTTAACAGGAAGAAGACATTAAAGAACAAATCAGCAAGCTCTTAAGATTTAGATTGAATGTATGAAATGAATTGTAAAAAATGAGACAGAAATGTTCCAATATGAATCTTCAAAGGGAAAAGGAATTTGGAATGAGTGGAAAAAAATATACACGAGTTAAAGCACAATGTAGGACTTAAGATTGAATTGTTCCATGAGGTACTAAGGAAGAAAATCTCACAAACATTACTTGTAGATAACATAGTATCTTTATGATACTGAGTATGAAGAATAGCCTAAAAAGTTCTAAAGCATGAAGGAAGTGATTGCAGGCACAATCAGACTGACATTAGAAATGTCACCAATATTGCAACCAACATTGCACCAAAAACTTCGGATGCAAGGAGATAGCAAGTATGTCAAAACTTGAAAGTTATTGAAGTTAGCAAACTAAAGACAGTTTTAGGAACTCAAGGACTCAAAATGTTCCTTTCTCTAAAAGTAGCATGGGACATACTCCACAACAAAATGAAAAGTAAATGCAAAAGCACATTTGAGATCCAAGAAACAATATTCATCAAAAAACCAAATGTAGTGGAATAGAAATACATTAGTATTCAAAGTAACATTGGGAATAGAATACTAAATGATCTCTATAGGTGAGAAAAATTCATTTTTTTCTAAAACCATGCATATTGGTTAAAACTATGCAAAAATATAACTTGGAATTTATAGGTGAATGGTAATTACAGAAAGAACAGTAGTATGTGTGGTTTTGAAGCAGGAGACTAGGGTGTGGGAAACCTAGCTGGGGAAGTAGGCATGACCTGTTACAAAATTCTAGGACACATATGCAGAACAGTTCCCAAATCCCAGCATGTGGACTTCTTGAGAGAACTCAAGCAGGTTTTGGATAGTATAGCCAAGATCTGACGTCAGCCTAAGGAGTGGGTGATAACAAAAAGGACAGTCAACATTGAGGTCTTTGCCACTGCACTGTCTCGCACAGTGGTCCACTCGTTGTAGAGTGTACTTGTCTTACTTGGCCCAAACTCACTCTGTAGAGCATGTTTCTGTCTACCTTTATTTTTAAAATTTTTAACCATATGGTCTATTTCAGTACCTCTTTTCCTACCTTTAATAAATGTAAAATTTCACTACCATTTGCGCTTGACTAATTCTTTATTCAGGACAGAAAGAATCTAGGAACCACCTCTAGGAGACTCCAGCACCCCAAAACCTGGTAACATATTTGGTGAGCCAGCCAGGAGATAAGGCCCTTTTGGCCATGTTTTGTTGTTTCTTTCTCTGAAATCTACCACCAAGGTTTTTCTTTTCTTTCCTTCTGCTGGGGAACCCAGGAGGCTTTCTCATGATGCTTGGAAAGTTTCTTTTTTCCACCATGTAGAAGAAGGGAGGAAAGTACAAGGTCTTTGTGTTTTTCCCAGCTGATTAGAGGCCCATAGGCCTACCTCAAATTTATATCCCCTTGTCTTCTCGTTCCCATTTTTGTCACTCATTGTGGTTATGACTCAGTAAAAAGCAGCCAGAGAGCCTGTTACTAACCCAGTCTCAGAACAAATCATTCAGGTTCCTCATGTGTGACTTAGAGTTTAATATGCCTTTTTGGCCTCACATTTTTCTCTCTGTAATACTTTGCTCAGCTTTCTTACTCTTGGGAAAATTAGCTATTGGTAACTTGGTCTCCTGCTTAAATAGCTGCCTACCCCAGTTTATTCCTTTTTGTGCTCAAAGCACCATCTCCACTTTTCCCTGAGATGGCTTTTTAAAAAAATACATTCTATTTTATCCTCCCCTCCCTATGGCATTTTATCTCTGGGTATCACTGGTGAGTTGCTTTCTCAGGGCCTTGTTTTATCCAAGTCCATCTTTCTGCCATGATTAGTAGCCATTTCAGTTCATGATGTGAGTTAGTCACATAAGTTGGCCATTTTGTTTCATCCTGTGGGTTGGCCACATGAATTTTGGTCATGTTGGCCATTTTAGTTGGTCACAGTTGATCACATAGTTGTGCCACAGTTGTTTGCAACTGACATCATGATATCAGAAAATCTCTTGTAGACGGGAGCTAAGCCTCTGATTTTGAACATTGGGGCCTCTTTTCCTCTCCTCTT